CTTTTCTTTTACTTTCTTCTTCTCTCTCTCTCTCTCTCTCTCTCTCCCCCCCCTCCTCTCTTTTTTTTTAATCACACGCATTCTTAAGCAACGACCACGTTAGTCCCAGTCGTGACACTGGATAGCTTTAGAAAAGAAGCATTTATTATTATTATTACTACCATTAAGCTGTCATTTCTTTGTTTTTTTTTTGTTTTACTTTGCGCCACTACATCGCCCGTACAGCACCAAACGTCTCACTGCCACACACACAGAACCGGCGAATCTTTTGTTTCCTTACAGTCCTTCGGCAAACATTTCATCTTGCTCATAGATTTAGGTCTTGGCCTGTGTGCCTCTGGCTGTATGCTTTCTTTTTTTTCCCCACCATTTAAATATATATATATTCACTGTGCGTCTCTAATTCGCCACAACAGTTCCAGTCATCACGCACCTCATTATTATTATCATTGCTAATTTCTTCTCCTTTTTTGTCGTTTCTCTTCCCAAAACTTTTCTCTATCTCGCTTGTCGCGTGTAAACATCTGCTGGTGCATCGTCGTTGCGATCCTTTCGGCATTTGAGTGTGTATGTGTCGCTGCTTTTTATGACGCTTACTCAGTGAGTCGCCACTCCACAACAAGAAGACGAACGAATAGAGAAAGCAAGTTCTACTCAGCTACGTGGCTTTTTTTATTTTTAGTGTATGTTGGTTTCCATTCATCAGTTTTTGTCGGGAGGTGTTCTTCACAGAAGTCGCAAAGGATTTCTCTGCGTGAAGCCGCGGCTAGACGTTCATTAGCGGCAATATATAAGCGCATCTCTGGTGACCTCGCAAGTAAAACCGCCTTATTATTATTAGTGTACGTGTGTGTCTGTCTTCCTCGCTCCCTTTGCCGAGTAAATAAACGTGCTATCTCCGATATCGCTCTGCGACAAGAGCGCAAAGTGTATCACCCGTGATTTGTATTTCCTCTTTGATAGTCTACGGTGGGCAGTTGTGCTTTGCTTTGGTGTGGGATTCATGTAGATCATCACCATTCGCGGCAGCTGGAAGTAGCACATTTCATTTCTCTTTCTCTTTCTCTCTCACACTCAGACGTCAGCTGTATTGATGCCGTCCCACGAGCGCATTATTGAAGTCGGCGGCTTGCAGAACTACCGCGATCTTGGTGGTTACCTGACGCGCGATGGAAAACACGTGGTGAAGTACAAGCACGTCTACCGCGCCGACAACGTTAGCAGCGTCACCGCAGAAGGGAAGAAGCTTTTAATGGAGAAGCTGCACTTGAAGTACATCATTGATTTTCGCTGCCCTGCCGAGAAGGCGCGCAGCCCGCAGCGGTCGTGCTCTGACTTTTCGTATTTCTCTATTCCAATCGACGCCTGCGCGGTGCGAGAGGAGGTGCAGAAGTATCCTGAAGTGGACGGCGCCATGGCAGAACAGATGATCCGTCAGGTGGCCAAAACATTTCTCATTGACTTTAAAGAGGAGTACAAGTATTTCTTTGAGTTGTTGCTGCATCAGGTGAAGGGAAAGCCGGCGGTGTTTCACTGCATGGCCGGAAAAGACCGAACTGGGATTGCGGCAGCGCTACTTCTGACGGCGCTCGATGTACCGCCTGACACCGTCATGGAGGATTTTCTCTTCAGCAATCAATGCTGCGTCGCGCCCACGGGTGCATCAATGAAGGTGAGTCACTGCACGATAACGCAGGACGCCATCAACGTACTCTTTCGTGCGCAGCCGTACTTTCTCGAATTGGCCTTCGGTGAGGTGCGCAGGCGATACGGCTCCGTCACGGCGTACATGGAGAAAGAACTGGGGCTTGACAAAAAGCACCTTCAGCAGCTCCGTGGCTACTACGTACGCCCGAAATCTTCGTCATGATCGGTATATATCGTTTCTACTGTTTTCTTTCATTCCATCAAAAGCACATCAGAATTCTCTCTTGTTTGGTGGGGAGGGGGGAGGTTTGTCTGCCGGCGCGTTGCTCTTTGGTATTTTGAGCAAACCGATCGACATACCTTTTCTCTCTCTCTCTCTCCACTCAATATGAAAAAAAGAAAGGGCTCTCTTCATCGCCCCTCGTCTCGTGTATGTCCTGCAACGCAAGGCGCTCTCATCGGTTTGTGATTTTTTAAAATCTTTTTTCATGTTCATCCCATTTCTCTTTTTTTTATCTCCCAAGTTCTTTTTCTTTTTCAAGAGCGCACAACGAAGTTATGGGTATCTCGGCAGCCCTTTTTCTGCTGTGTTTTTTTTTCTTTGTCTCGACTCGAACAGTTCGATTTTCGCTTTTGATGTACACTCTATATACAAAAGGCAAAGTCGGTCGTTGTGAGACAAGGGAAGAACGATGATGCTGAAGGAGGCGACGGTGTGCACAATTTAAGGCAAAATGTGAGGTCGTTTTAACATTGGTATTGTGGGTGTTTTTTTTTTTCTCTCCTGACGACTCCACTGGAACATTCTTTCTTTCTCTTCAGCGTTTTCATTCTTTTGTTGTCGTTGTTATTGCTGGTAGTTTTTCTTCTCGCTTGCAACATCCCGCTGTGATGTTGTTTTTGTAACGTATAAGTTAGTTTCCTTTCGCTGTTCACCCGAGGATTGCACTCGCGATTCATGTCTACGATGCAACGCAAATCCTTCATAATGCGCCAAAGAAAAAAAGAATACATAAGTTTTGGGTCTTCAACAGTTGTGGCGTCACACAATTCTCTCCATCTCCATTTACCACTCTAAAACGGTGTGTACATCGCTGTTACGTGATCTCGCTCCTTCGCTTGCGACGTGCCAGGGTACTTGCGTGCCTCGCCCGTCTTCGAATGACGTAGTGTGTTCATCTATCTTATCTTGCCCTTCTCTTCTTTTTCGTTATGTTGCTGCGTGGCAGAATCCACCCCTGCTCCGTTTGGCTCCATCGACACACAGGCTCTCCATCTTCTATTTGCACGTACACAACAGGTTTTTTTTCCGCACACACACACACACACACACACGCACATACCCACACAGACCCCAGCGCGAACAATGGATTCTCCGCACGCTGATATTGGTGAGAAGCATGTGGAGTGTGTCCTCTCGCTCGTGGGGGAGAAGCGCAGCCGTGCGGTGTCCGAGACAAGCGGGGAGTACAAGGACGGCGTTGGCGAGGCGTTCCCCGGTGCGCCGAACACCACACTGAAAAGCAGGACGGAGAGTTGTGCCGTTGAAGTCGCGGAGGTCGGAGCCGAAGAAACCGCCGTTGTCGTCGTGCCCGGCGCAGAGGCCCCCATGCAGCTATCGCCAGAGTCAGACAAGGACGCCGTGGAGGTGGTGGAAGTCAGTGACTTAACGTCGCCGGAGGTCAGCTGCAACGAAGTCCACGCAGAGACAGAGACAGAAATGATGCTGCCTCATGAAGAGGGTATCTTGAAGGGGGAGCTGTCCTGTGCGACGGAAGCGCAGACGATGACTGGTCATTTGACAGCGGCAGCAGCAGCCACCGCTCCAGAGCACGAGGAAGGAGAAGAGTCAAAGGGGAAACAGGGCAGCGTGGATGCGCAGTGGCGCGACCACAAGACAGAAAAGGGGGGAGACGATGATGGAGAGCACGAGTGGGGCGCGACGCGCACCGCGTCGATCAACGAGAACGGCGGTGAAGCTCCCCAAATCGCCACAGCACCCCTCGCAGCATTCGATCACGCGAAGATGCCGGCAGATGACGCCACCATCACCCCTTTGACAGAGGCAAAAGCGCCGCTTTCACCCCTTGCGAATTCATGCGGCAACAGTGGCGCGTCGCAGACGGCGTCGCGGACGGCGTCGCAGACAGCAGAATTTGATAAAAACGACGAGAGAGACGACGACAACGACGACGAAGGCGCAACTGCCGCCGCCACCGCGGCTCCAACATTTGGCGCTTTCGAGTTTATCCGTCGTGCCTCCACCACCACCCGTGAAGCAGAAACGAACGTCTCCGGCGCGTCTGAAGCGGGCACGCCCTCCCCACCGCCGCCGCTGACAGCCGACACCGAGGACGAGATGGCCGCCTTGTCAACGACGCACCCACGTTTTACTTCCGCCTACAAAGATGACTGCGTCGTCCGCGGCGCGGAAGAGCATATGCTCGTCTAATTCAGTGCTTTGGGCTGTCGGCAGACGCATGCGCATGTGCAAGCGAGTCTGCCCGCTGCGCCTTCGTCTTCCACACAGAACGGAAAGGATAATCAGCGCCCGAATGAGTGAATGCTACCGTGCTATATAATCTCTTTTACTCATCTTCCTTTTTTTCCCAAAATTGTTTCTTTTTTATGTGTGTGTTGACTTTCGAACAGAACCCCCGGGTACGAAGTCCGAGTCTTTTTCTCACTGACCCCAACGTTTTTCGCGTTGCTTGTGGACGGCGATCTCGCCTGACACGGATTTCGTCCTACATATAGGGGTATTCCTCTCCCTCTCCCCCCCCCCCCCTCCTCATACTCTTGTTTTTCTATCAGAAACCCCTCGGTGTGTGCCTCTTCTACTTGGTAGCAGAAAACACAGCAGAACTGGTAGCACCCAAAAGAGCGATGCTGACGCTGGACGCCTGTGAAGTTTTCTTTGCCTTGAACACCCGGCTCTCTGTTTTCTGTGTAACAGATGTTGTCTGTCACTGCGATGTGGGCCACTTGGTGGACGCAGGGGCCCTTGTTGCAATAAGGGAACTGTTCACAATCAAAACCATGTCAAAAAAAAAAATTGCTGAGATGTACGTCACATCTCCGCTTTTCGCGCCGCTTTCAACGAGACTGTCGACTATTTAAAAGACTTCCTCACGAGCCGCTCTTCCTCTTCTCTTTTGTTCTTCCGTCTGCGCACAGTAAGTCAAGCGCCTCCCCTAAACCATCGGCAACACGAACAGCATCAAACCAATTTCCTAATACACTAATTTCTAAAGACAGTTTTTCTCTCCGTCACTATTGTTCGTTTTGTCGTCAAAACACTTCAAGCGCTGTCCGTCATTCCGCTCTCTACTCTGTCTTCTCTCTCCTTCCTATTCGCGCAGACGAGCACGCACATGTCGCGCAACACCGGATACGTGGAGGGGCAGGACGAGGAACGGGCGTACTGCCGCCGGCCTAGCCCTGGCTCTCAGGGATCGCCGATTAATCCCATTTCTCCGAAGGACGTCATGGCCACGAAGGTGGATAGGGAGATGGAGGGCACGTTTGAGCAGGTCGACGAGCTCGGGCCGGAGTCCAAACGTGAATCGGGGCGCGCTATGTCACCGCCGCCGCCGCCGACCGAGAACTGCATATTCAGGCTAACACGGCGCATCATGCCACCTGGTGGCCTTGCGAGTGGTGTCTTCAACCTGGCCAGTGGTAGCATGGGGGCGGGTATTCTCGGCTTGCCCGCCGCCTTTCAATCATCCGGCGTGATCACAGGCACCATCTTACTCATCATCGTCTTTTTCATGACGGTGTACACGATGCGGCTGCTGGCCCTCGTATACGAGAAGACGGGCATCCGCGGCTACGAGCTGACCGCGCGTTACCTCTTCGGTCGCGGTGGTGACATTTTCACTGCCGTGATTATGTTCCTCAAGTGTATCGGTGCCTGTATTGCGTACGTCACCAGTGTCGGTGATCTATGGCATGCCTTTCTGAACGACGACCGCGTACCGGAGCGGTACCAGAGCGATAGCTTTCAGCGCGTGCTGACCTCCGTTACCTTTGTGGTGCTGATGCTGCCCCTCTCATTGCCGCGCCAGATCAACACTCTCCGCTACTTCTCCCTCTTCGGTGTGACTTTTATTCTGTTTTTCGTGGTTTGCCTCACTGTACATTCCGCCACGCACGGCTTGAAGAATGGCAATTTGTCGAAGGTGAAGCTCTTCAACACGGGCAACGCGGCCATGGGAGGTCTGGGTCAGTTCGTCTTCGCCTTTTTGTGCCAGTCGAACGCTTACCAGGTGTTCAACGAGACCACAAAGCCGTCGGTGAGGTTTTTTGAGCTGCAGTGTTTCATCAGCATGCTGATCTGCACCGTTTTTTACTGGCTGACCGCATTCTTCGCCTACGCCGACTTTGGCGACCGTGCCGGTACGCCGTTGCTCCGCCTGTACCGTCCCCTGACGGATTACTACCTCGCTGTCGCCTACGTTGGGATTGCCTTCAAGTTGTGTGTCGCCTTCGCCCTCCACATCCTGCCCTGCCGCGATGCCGTGCACCACCTCGTCGGCTGGGATATTCGCACCGTCGCCTGGTGGAAGAATGCGCTGCTGTGCACCTTCCTCAGCTTGGTATCGCTGCTGTGCGGTTTGTTTATCCCGAACGTGAACATCGCTTCGGTCTGCTCGGCTCCTTCACTGGGTCCTTCATCGCCTTCGTCTTTCCGTCGCTCTTCTTCATCTACAGCGGTGGCTTCACCCTGCAGAAGGCCGGCGCCTTCGACTTCTTCGGTGCCCTATTTGTGCTAGTTTGCGGTGTCATCGTCATCTGCTTCGGTACCACGGCAACCATCTACGGCATCCTGTAATGTGGAAGAGAGGGCGCACACCTACATCTCTGTTGTTAATTGGCGAGAGTGAGATAGGAAAATGCAGTGCCTACCACAGAAAAGGAGATGTGAAACGTGCGTAGGTGGAGCGCTGCTGCTGACACACGTAAGACCAAAGTAAGAAAGAGACGCGAAAGGGAAAAGAGTGTCGTCTCCTTCTTGCTTTGCGGAGCGCAACTTCTTTTGTTTTTTTTTTGGCGAAATGATGAGCCATCTGTCCGCAACCCCGCCGAAAAATACTTCCAACGCTGGTGGGGGTATCCTTTTTTTTTAAATCACGCTAAACGGATACAGAGCTCCGCAGGCTTCCTAGAATCGGCATTTGTCGCTGCTTTTGTTTTTCCTCATCTTTGCGCTCGTCGGTCGATGTCTTTTTCCCGTTCGGTTTAAACTAAAAACGCGCAGAAGACAACGGAATGCAGAACGCACGGAATCTTCGAAGCCTCTTAAATAACATCTTCCTTTCTTCGTTATTGGCCTTTTTTTAAGCTGTTTGTTTCTCGCCTCTCCGCATGTCCTGTGCCAGCTTTGCTGTCACGGGTTCGGTGAGCAGACGTGAACAGAAGCTACTCACCAACTTCTTTTCCTCATTTGTTCGTGCTGTCCTGACTGTATTTTCTCCTTGTGGTCTGCTGTTTTTGTTTGTCGTTGCTGTTGTTTGTCACCGAGTGCACCGTAAGAATGGGAGACGCGTCGAGACAGAACTGCGCACGCTCAGAGCGAAGCACGTGCGTCTCTCCCCCACTGCTTATCGAGTCTCTCACAGTTGCTGTTCTTGGCAAATGGATGTGGTGTCATTGAATGCTGATTTCATACAAAACTTCAGTTGTGGTTTCTTGCTTTCTTCCTTTCTTCTTTGTTTCTGCCGCGCTTTCGATCTATTTTAACTTGAAAACCCCGCTAACGCTTTATCTTTCTTCTTCTTACTCGTCTTTTTTTTTGTTTACGCGTGGTTTACTCTTTTCCCCTTCTGTGTTTATTTCTGCAGAAGGGTGATTAGTGGTGTTTACGCAGCTCAGAGGCCAAATAGAGATGCGGTAAGCTGCGACTCCCGCGGAATAATTCAAGCGTTTCCTTTTTGGTTCTTTTTTCCCCTTCACTTCCCACTTATTATGGAACTATTTTCCTTTTTGAACTCAAAACACATCGCTTTCTTTCATTTACCACTTAATCGATCCAAGATTTCTGTTGTGGTGGTGGATGCTCTTTTTTGTTGTTGCATCAACGGAGATCGTTGAAGAAACCGAAATTGCGCGACGAAACGAGAGGGATATCGCTGGGACACCGCAGAAATGACTTTAATCTCCCTCCGGTTTTTTTAGACGAGTAGCGTCTTGCTGGAAGGGAAATGAGTTGTTGTGTGTTCATACTTCGCTCCCGAATGTCTTCGGCGTCCGTGTTGCCCTCAGGTTTGAAATGCGCAGTTTCGGCCTTATTTTCCGTTTCTTTTGTAGCTATACTTTTACTATTCTTAATGTGGCGTTGGATCTCTGCACATGCCGACGTGTGCGTACGCAGAGACGGGCAACGATCAATAACACACACACATCAAAAAGTGATAATAGAAAACGCAAAACAACGTGAGTCCGTTTTCGTAGCGGCTTTCGGCGCGGAAAAGATTCTTTCGCCGAAGTCGAGTACAAGAGTTACTCCTCTTCGCTTCTCTTTGTTTTACTGCCGCTGCGGAGACTCGAGACGGGAGCCGCACAAGCCGGTAAGAAAAGCATTCGAAGGACACGGTAAATACCGAAGCGGGTCTCGATAGAAAACAACCAAAAAAAAACGTGGATCGATTTCCGGAAGTAAAGTAATATAACTAGTACACACACACACACACACGTACACACAGACCTCTCCTCAGCCTGTAGCGCGATCTTCGTTTTCAAGCTCCTTTTCCTCACCGCACACAACGATATCGATGTAAGCGATTAAGCTCCCTTCATCTACCTATTTCTTTGATCTTTCTGTTTACATTTCTTTTTCATTTGCTTGGAGGCTCACGAAAGATTGTGACACAATTTGTGTGACGCCTGAACGGAGGCGGCAGAGGTCGATGAAGACGTTAGCAATCCTTTGCGTGCATCTAAGTGTATCGTAGGCCTCTGTGTGTGCGTGTGTGTTGATCTGTGTGCGATGCTATGCCAGTGCGTGCATGCGTGCATCTCTGGTGACTTAATTACATGTATAATACCAAACCACAAAAAACAAACTAATTGTGTTTTTTCCTTTATAAATTGTGCATGCATGTATGGGTGTCGCATAACAGCGTTGTTCACAGTCCTACCTTGTTAAACCTGTTCGTTGTCCTGTCAATGAAACGCACTGAGAAATGTGAAACACAGGCTTTTTTTTTGGAGCTTGCGAATAGAATGACCTAGCCTGAAGAATTATTCATCCTACCTCTCTCTTTTCCCCTTTTCTTGTATTCTCTTTCTCAACTGCTAGAATTCAGCAGTTCTTCTATCTTTTAGTTTTTCCCACCCGCCCAACCCTGAACTCCCCGCCCACCCAGCGGGGAAGCGTAAGGCGGGCTACCCACTTCGTAGAGTCTGTTGAATAGTTTGTTTTCTTTGCATTTATTTAACTATTGATATTTACAGTGTGTTGTATAACCAAGAAAGATAAATTTATGTAATTCTCATGTAAAGGTTTGACCTGTTGGTAGGTGATGATTTGTAGGGTGTAGGTTATTCTCGCATGAAAAGAAAACACGTCGCTGCGATGTGTTCATCTTTCTCTCTTCGCTTTGAAAATGTCTCGTTGTCTCCTTTGTGTTTTAGTGTTTCGGATCGCAACAACTTGAGAATTGCGTTCTCTGTATGCCGCTTACCTGTGCATCGAGGTATTCGCTGCGTATTTCGTGTAGGCGACGTACAACCAAGTGCTGTTGTGGGTTTTGAACCACTGTGTCGGCCGACTAACCGGTTGTTGCGTTGCGGAGGGGACCGAGAGACAGAAAAACGAAAGAGCGAGGTACGGTCGTCAGCTTTGCTGCTTCAGCGTGTACGGAGTCTGAGCCGCTGTGCAACAACGTGTAAAGAGAGACCTACCTGCGATGTTTCTGTGGTTGTAGCGGTGCTGATAAATCGGATAAAGGAAGCACCACAACTATTCTTTTTCTTTTTCATTCGGTTTGTTTGTGATTTCTTTTTTCTCTTTTGTTTTCCTCTAGCAACTCCTAAGCCTTTTTTTTTGGGACTCCCCTCCCAAATTTCGTTCGCTCACTGTAATTCGGCATCACCGCATGAATCGCCTTCTCTTTTTTTTTTCCTTCGAAAAGTCAAACACACTACCGGTTTTTGTTTTTGCGTGTGTGTGTGTACGTGATGCGCGGGAGGCAACGTAGGTCTAAATTAAAACTACAAAAAAATGCGACGGGATTCAGCTCCAGAAGGGACGTTTGTTCGTCGGTACACACTTCTCTCAGCACCGCAGCACGCTTTCCACTTCGACGATTTCGCTAAGGTGCGCACAGCAGTGAGGCTAAGGCAAATGTCAGTAAAATAGTTTTGTGTTTTCTTGGTGTTATCATTTTCTTTCGGTCCGTATGCAGATGCGTAAACGTAGGCATGGAAGACGATTGAACGTCTTTCGCCTAGTCCAGCACAGAAGCGGGATAGGAAAACAGGGTCCTGTGATGTTGTATAGGAAGTTTTTGTTTCTCTTCGCCGGATCTGCGTCATCGTTCTCTCCTTTCTCTTTTCTTTTCTCTTACTTTTCGTCTGCCTTGTAGCCCTTTTAATGTTTTCTTTCTCCTCCACAATTCGGCTGTGCGGTGCGAGTACGAGTGCGTGTCTCGTCTCTGCGTTCAGGCAACTCTTTAGAATCCAAAACGTTCGTAATTTATATACTTGTTTTGATTTTTATTAGCACCACGTAACAGCGATCCTTTTATTGTGTCACCCTTTCGCTACGTGAACTCTTCCGTGCGTGCTTTTAGTGCCTAGTAAACGGCAAACTGTGTATGTGGGGAAAGCTATGAAAACGTAAGAAATCGTAAAGAACCTAAGCGAAAGCATTCATGTTACAGGCAGGTGCGGAGCACCGCCACTACCACGTGGGTTTGCGCTGGTGATGTAAATGCCGGGGTGTTTTAACACGCCGAACGCAACTGCATCGCTCTGCAACGGGTAGGGAGTATTGCAAGTTAGCGTGCATCGCTCTGCTCTCCCGTCTTTACGCTCCGTGCTTCGGCCGATGTGGTGAGGTCTTCTCCTCCACCACTCCAACGAGACACATGTACGGAGTTGTTGCAGCTCATGTCAGTCAAGAATGGAGAAGCAAGTCTGTACTTGGTAATCGCCGTCTTTTTCTCCCTTTCTTTGCTTTTTTCTTGCTTTGGATTCTTCTACCTTTAATGGATTTATTAAAAAACTTTTTTTCTCGTCTGCGCACAGTAAGTCAAGCGCCTCCCCTAAACCATCGGCAACACGAACAGCATCAAACCAATTTCCTAATACACTAATTTCTAAAGACAGTTTTTCTCTCTGTCACTATTGTTCGTTTTGTCGTCAAAACACTTCAAGCGCTGTCCGTCATTCCGCTCTCTACTCTGTCTTCTCTCTCCTTCCTATTCGCGCAGACGAGCACGCACATGTCGCGCAACACCGGATACGTGGAGGGGCAGGACGAGGAACGGGCGTACTGTCACGGAGCCATGCCCGCCTTCCACAGCAACAGCCCTACCTTTCAGGCACCGCAGATTACCCCCATTTCTACCCAGGGCGATGGGACCACGAAGGTGGATAGGGAGATGGAGGGCACGTTTGAGCAGGTCGACGAGCTCGGGCCGGAGTTCCAGCGCCAACCGCCGCCGCCCACTCTGCCGCCATTTGTAAGGGGCGCTGTGAAGATTGTGCACCGTATCATGCCACCTGGCGGCTTTGCGAGTGGTGTCTTCAACCTGGCTGGTAGCAGCCT